CCTGTCCAATCTCGAATTGCTCCACCCATCCCCATAGCGGAGGTCCCACTTAACCAACTCCTGTTAGTGTTTAGCTTAACCCACGGGTGCTCCGGGGGCCTCCATAGGGTCTGCTCCACCCATAAGCGCCTCTTAACGTTGTACAAACTATTCTCCACCATAGACAGTACCACCTTCCGACGGACCTCTGAAATCATCCAACGCTCGTTATTAAAAATTATGTTATTCCTAAACCTCCAAACCCACCACAATGTGATGGATAGCTTAATAGCATCCTTATTCAAAATAATACCCTTCAGCCATTGAAAACAATCCATTACAGAAGGAGACCACCCTACACTGAACCCGCCAGACATCAGCACCTCTCGCGAATGCGGGCAATCACGAAGAGCATGAAGATGGTTTCTTGTGGACAAGAGCAACGCGAGCATCCACCAGACTCTGCCAATCTCCTTTCAACCCGTAGCTGATTCGTTGGAAGAGCTGAGTGTAGGCATTGCCACAGAAAGAACTAAACCTTCTATGGAATCATTAACTTCCAGAGCTTCTTCCAAACTTCATCCACCTCAGTTGACAAAATCGGGAGTAGGAAACGATACCCAGATGCAACTGAATAGCAACCCGATATATCACCCATCCATTTGAAGTGATCCACCCCCAAGGAGGAAGTGACTACACTCAACTGTTGGGCCGAGTGAACCAGCTCTACCGGGAGAGCAGTATATAAGGCATTGAAATTCCACTCTCCATTGACCCAGCACTCTGCTACCGTTTTGTTGGTGTCCACAATGTGAACAAATGGAACTTTCCTGCACCAAAGCCCAGTACCCGACCAGTCCGTGTACCAAAGGGATGATGCACCAGAATCTAACTGAGGCTTGAATCCCTCACGGAGTGAAGGAAGGGCCTTAATAATACTTGACCAGGTTGGAGAAGCACCACGCCTTTTTTTTCTTTTGGGTTGTTATACGAAGTTGAATGGCTTGTTCTGGATGCAGAACGGCCCGTTCTCCAACCAGAACGACCTGTTTTGCTTGGAGAACGGACCGTTCTGCTGACCTTTTTATGTTTTTTTTTTAAATTTTTTTCCTACTTTTTTACGTCGGATGTCGTAATGTACGACGTAAATTTACGTCGGTTTTGCGGATCCAACATAAAATTTACGTCTCCCACTTCTACGTCGGTATGTTTTCTGACGTAAAAAGCTAAAAATAACCGACGTAGTACATCTCTTTTGTACTAGTGATTACAGGCATTTTCTTTCTGCCCGTGCATGAATTTACATTGGCCACATTTTTTTTTGGAATATTATTTCGTTACACGTTAGCATAATCGCCCTAGCAATATATCCTAATATATTTGTAATGCAATTCATGGAAATTTGTAACGTAATTCAGCGAAATATGTAATAATTACGAGGCACGTCCCTTCCATATGCATTATAAAAAAAAGCAACACATGGCATCATTTTAATTACATCAAAACAATATATACATTGTAATTTGAAATTTGAACGTAATGTTACCCTTTATCCATGATCTACTTCTATATTTTTATGTTTTTGCTCTCTCGATGGACTCTGTAACCAATTCACAATATTTTTTTTTTCCATTTTATTGGGAATAATTCTTTCTTTATCCATTTCATTTAGTTTGAAAAATTATATTTCAAATGTTTTTTTGATATGATTCTTAGGATGTGAATTTGTCAAGTTTTCAAGAGTGAGTTGAAGGCTCTCTAAAGTGAATAAGAAAATAATTAGTAGAATGTTAAAAAGGCGAGGCATACTTTTCAAAGTTTTCCAAATCAAAATTTCATATAGTAATTAATGCTCAATATATGATCTTGGTGTGGAAATTACTTTAGAGTTACAAGAATATGTTCATGTTTTTACTACAGTTTCTAACCTCAACGTAAATGGTTAAGTATGCATCAAGAAGTGGACTATATTAAAGTTAACATATATAGAAGGAGATAGAAAAAAGTTTTTGAAGACCTTGATGCTCTAAAAGAAATTTTGAATAGTATTCATCCTTATCTTAATGAACTTCAAAAAGGAGGAAGAAGATTTGATGGCTTTTATTAAAGAAGCTTGATTCAAATTTGTCAAAACAACAACAATAAAATTTAAAAGACAAAAGGTGATAGCACAATAGAAGAGATTGAAGGAAAAAGGCAAAACCTTTTTTCCTAAACTTTGAAAGACTCTTGAGCATAATTAAGAAGAAGCTTGAAGTACTCTACTCCTCAAAATGTGTCAATCTAAACCAAACCTACAAGACTTATCAAAACTTTAGAGAAAAATATTGTAAATGAAAAAATATTATGAACATTTTCATCATTAAAACTTTAATGAAATTTTCCTTCGTGAAATTTCTTCAAATATTTTTTATTTATTACTTTAGTTATATGATTTAAATTATCTTCTTTGATCAAATATGCATTTTTTGAATATACTTTTTCTATCGAATATGGTTCTTTCTAATTATAACACCATTTTTCTAAACTTCAAGACTTCTAATCCATTAGTAATAGTACCTTCAAAATTAAGTCACTAATCGAAAATGTCTTTGACTTAACTTTTTATTATAGATCGGGGATATCTTCTCTTTTTGATGTATCAATTTTTGCATTGTCATTAATCTCTCTTCATCTAATTGAATCAATTCATCATACATGAAATTCTAATAATCTTCGACATCTATAGGTAATATTGCCTTATGTCCATAAACAAGTTTATATAATGCCATTTATGTCGCCCCCTTGGATGAATTTCTATATGCTCATAAAACTTCTAATAAAGTTTCATGCCAATTCCAAGGTCTTGAAGCTATATTTTCTTTGCCAAAGATATCAAAAATCTTATTAGAAACTTTAACTTGTCCATTTGCTTGAACATAATAAGGTGTCAAAGTAACCAACTTAATTCTTCTTAACTCAATGTATTGTATAATTTTTTTGACTAGTAAATACAATTTCTTGATATGTAGTTATGGTCTGTGGTATTCTAAATCAAAAAAATAATATGATCTTCAATAAAATCTATAAATTCTTTTTGACCAACTTCTTTAAAAGGAATAGTTTCGACCCATTTGATAAAATAGTCTATAACAACTATAATATATTTAGGATTTTTTTGACGATGAAGGATATAATTGACTGATCAAATTTATAACCCAACCTCGAAAAGGCCATGGTTTAACAATAGAATGCAATTCACTTGCTGGAACTATTATTTTATTGGTTCATGTTTTTGACATTCATTATAACTTTTAACAAATTCAATACAATATTTCAACATGGTCGATCAATAATAGCCTTTTCAAGATAATACCCACTTGATTTTCTCATCAGCTTGATGAGTACCACAAATTCTTTCATGTATTTTTTCCATAACTAAATACATTTCATTATCTACTAAACAGTTAAATAACAAACCATTAAATCTTTTTTGTATAATTCATCATTTAAAATTACATAATTGATGGTTCAATATCTTATTTTTTTTACCCATCTTTATGTTTGAATTTTGTAAATTCAACAAGTGATTTTCTCCAATAATAAATGAATGATGCATCAACAAAATAACTCTCAAATACATTTAGTAACTTATTTCAAATTAATTTCTATCATAGACTCACATTTTCCTTTAGTAAGCTTATACCCCAAAACAATATGAGCCAATTCATTTGCCTCATAATTTGAATTTTGAGAAATTTGTTCGAATTGAACTTCGTCAAACATAGTTAAAAGAAAAATTGTTCGAGAACAATACTTAATTAAATCCTCACTTATATATTTATATTATCGAATTAATTGTTTGATTATATTAATTAAGAATCTCCTCGAATAATAATATTTTTTATCCTCAAGGCAATTAGTGTCTCCAAATCTGATTCAAAGCTTCATACTTAGTTTCATTATTCAAACGTATTGACTTAACTTGAAATAAAATTTTAGTAAGAGTTTCTCTAAACAATTATAATTCTAATTCATGATCCAGTTTGCTGTTTTGATCCATCAAAATATAAAGCGCATGATTTAATTATTAGAAAACCTACAATTACTTGACCTTTCATTGATGATATACGTACGTGGAATAATATGATATTTATAGGCAATCATGCATGCCTTCACCATTCTCTGCATGGAACTTCCCAAGTGATGGTAATTTACGTAGAAATTTCTGCTACTTTTCATGGTTTACAAACTTTTGAGGGTTTGCGTGAATGATCATATCATATATGTTAGCTTGTTGCGTAAGGAAATCTGCAGTGAATGGCCACCAAGCTTACACCGATATTGCATTGGCATGTAAATAATAACATAATAATAATTTATCAAAGATAACCAAGTTATATAGAAACCGTTACTAAAACTCTCTCCGTCAAAGCTTTCAACTCTGAATACGCGTCATGATATCTCTCTGCATTTGCTTTTTCATTTCCCTCTATTTTCACTATACACATTAATTAATTAATAAATAACTCTTTCACGTAAAAGACCAAGTCAACTTAATAATTAACACAATTTTTGGCCCTTCTCCCCCTTCTTGATATTATTGTTTCTTCTCTCTTTTCGGAAATTATTGAAAAAATTACATACATTTTCTTTCTCCCCATGCATGAATTTACATTGACGACATTTGTTTTAGAATATTATTTCGTTACACGTTAGCATAATCGCCCTAGCAATATATCCTAATAGATTTCTAATGCAATTCATGGAAATTTGTAATGTAATTCAGCGAAATATGTAATAATTACGAGGCACGTCCCTTCCATATGCATTATAAAATAGCAACACACTGCATCATTTTAATTGCATCAAAACAATATATACATTGTAATACAAATAGTTCATTGAACCAATATTTTGAATATTGCTTTGTGAGAATGATCTGTTCCAATCCGCAAGACACCTCCAAGCTTATAGGCAACAAGGGGCAGTCTAAGACTAAGAGCAGCAATGGTTCGACCTCTCAAAACGGTGGCCAAAAGAAGACTGTTCAATCGGGTCTTGCCTATAAAAATTCTTGAAATGCATTCAAAACAGGTCAAATAAATTAGAAACAAACCCTCAACAACGATCTCAATTTCTTGCTATTGAAAATTTTGTAATTTTTTTTATCTATTAAATCAGCTAGGAGTTACAATAATTTCATTCTTTTTCACCCCCTTTTCCCGTTAATTAATGTCATGGTCTTTAATTACATTTATCATTTTGATTTTATTGCAGGTGATCATGTGGAAGAAGTGGCCGGAGTTATATGTAGGAAGCGCGCAGTGATTATTATAGTCATTATTTGTTTATTTATGAATTGTTCGTTTCATAAGCATTTGTTGTTTACAACCTTTTTTCTTTTTTTTTTAGAAGATTCACGAATAAATTTAGAGCTAGTAATATTTCATTTCTATGTAAAATTATGATAAACACTAATAATCTTTGAAATATTTACATGGTATGCGCAAGTTCCATGTGATTATGAAAGGATATTCACGAATATGTTGTTATTACTTTGTCCTTATATTTGTTTTCTCACGAATTAAGTTCTCTTATAAATATATTTGTTAACAAATACTATCATCTTTGTATATTATTTCTTTACTGTTCCATCAATATAAAGAACCTCGCGTCAAGTTACTTCATTGCTAATAATAGCTGAATAAATTAATTAAAGAATAAAACGGCTTTTATTTTGTCTAAAAATTCTTGATATCCCAGAGGAGCAGTGGAGCACTCAGAATTTCGATTAAAATAGTTGAACTCGATCAATATACACTTATTTGACGGGCTAAAATTCTCTTAATTATAATTATATAAATGATTTATATTTAAAAGGCTCGAATATTTAAGAGGAAGTATATTTTTGCCACCTAAATATTACAACTTTAGTACTTAAGGAAAACAAGCTCTAAGTAATTTAAAGTTTTTAAGCGATAACATTTCAATATATGCGACTAGGATAAATTAATATTTTAATTTTCTATTTTTTCCAGTTTATTTTATTTTATTTTTTATTAATTTATATTTAAATTGTTGTTATTTTTCAATTTTGACGACAAATAAATCTGTCACAATTTTGTCAATTAATTTTGACGATAATATAACTAACACAGTTGAAAAAAAATTACATTTTTAACGATTAAAAACACTCTATACGCCATTATTAATATTAGTTATTTCTTAATGTTTAGTCCTTAATTTAAAAAATTAAATTTATTTTTTATATGTTTTTATAGGGATTAAAATTAAAAAAATTTCTAGATTTTTAAATGCTTTATAAAAAGGGGTTATAATTAATAAAAGTATTAAAAAATAAATAAATAAATAAAAGAACACCATGGCCCGGCTGTCCTAACTCTCTAAGTTCAACTAACGTGAGAATCTCATCAATTGTTGGTTAAATTTGATGCTTTTGTTATCTATTTTTATTTGTCATTTTATGGGTTTTACTAATTAATTAGAGAGTTTAAACTTTGTACTTATCATTATAAGTACATTTATAATGAATTTAATTATGAATTTAAATTACGCGTGTCAAATGCACAATAATTTTCAAGATTTGAAGTTCACACAGATTTAGAAAAACACATCTCAACATATAATATTTTGTAAATATTATTTGCTTCAATTACTATTTGAGTGAATTCCGTATGTAGATTCTTTTTATTCTAACTAGCATAGAATTTTTTAATTTAGGTAAGTATATATAATTTGATAACGGAGATGAAAATAAGATAGACCAATTTAATAAGTATCAATTTCTAGATATTCATCAATGATTATTATCAAGTAAATATCATGCATGCATACCTTCAAATAGATTGAGTGTGTAATATGTATATTGACAACATAAATCATAGCTATTTGTTTCATATAAATTGTAAATTACAATGCGTGATGATTCAAAAACAAGTTGAAATATGAAATTAGACTACGTTATTCTACCATAAACTACACTATGAAAAGAAAGGAAAAAAAAGCTAAGAAGTCATATTCAGCAATCTCATACTTGGGAGCCATATACGTAGGCAGTGAGTGCTTGTGAGAGTTCTTAAACATGAATTTTTGACCCCTATGATAGAATTGCTTTTCGTATTTATAGAGGTAATTGGGAGTAGTTATCTACATGAATAATCGACGTGGGGCATATACTTATTGCCCATTATGTGGCTTGTGTAACTTCTCATAACTGCTCATCCCACGTCTTCTTGTTCGACTCTCGAAACAACTTCTTCATGGACGATTAGTGCGCATCTATTTAGTAACTACCATGATCATGATAATATGTTACAACTTCTCATCTGTCCATAACTGCTAATAACCTCTCCTCTTGTCCTTTGTTCTTCGAGTGTTGTCTATGTGTACTTTTCGACTTACTCGAAGCTAGTCTATGTGTACTTTTTGACTTCCTCGAAGCTTTTCTATATCCTTAGGAAAAAAACATTCCCTGATCTAGTTGCCTTTCTATCTTTGTGTTTTTTGATTAATTCTTATGGGCTTTAACTCGAACAACCCCAAGAGTTACATACTATGATTATTTTTTATTCAATTTTGTCATTAATAGTATAATAAATATAAATATAATAAACATATTATAAAATAAACGTTCGATATTAATCACAAATTTAGTGAAAGAATGCATACCATAATTATTTCTATCGACACCTAATTCCATTGTGCGATCCTTTTATAAACTAAAGAAGTTGCTTTTTGTAAGTTATTTTTTGAAGTCAATTAATTTTAAATAGTTATATTTTATTATGTACTTTTGAATTTGAGAAAAAAAAAAGTGAATTTTTAATAAATATATCTATTATATGTTTTCTTATCTTTATTGTAATGTGATCATTTTAATGCATGGAACTTGCCAAAGTGATTCATGGCAATATATGGCAATATACATAGAAAATTCTGCTATTATAATATTCTCCTTTCATACTTGCCATTTTACAAACTTTGAAATATTGTCCTAGGGTTTGTGCGTAGCACAAGGAGAAATTTGCGTTGAACTTCAGCATGCAATAACTACACGTTCTGCATGTTTATAAGTGACTTCATAAGCAAGTTAGTTTCTGATATATAGAAACCCTGACCAAAACTCTTACCGTCAAATTTTTGAACTTTAAATACGCGTTAGGCTCTCGATATAAATTTTAATATAAAATAAACCTCTCAAACTAAGTATCATATATATATATATATATAATATTAAATTTAATTAAAAAAATGTACAATTTTAAATAATTAAAAAAAAATTATAATGATTGTCCATCCATAAATATTAAACTTTATCAGAGACTTGAATAGATAAATCTATAGCAATTTTAATTGATGACATTGTGTATATATATCTGTATAGAAATTAAAAAAATATAATATCAATCAATAATTAAATTATATTTCAAACTTCAGAATAATGGTTAATAAATTAGAATAAAAATAAAACTAAATATAAATAAACTAATATTAATATGCATAAAATTAGGCTAAACATATTATTATATATAAAAAATACAAAATATTCTAATAATCATTTGCATGTGTTATAAAAATAATATTAATCTAATATAAAATTAAAATATTAATAGTTTATCATTATTAATATTATAATTAATACTAATCATTTGCATATACTTTAAATATAAAAATGTGAATTTAATCTAAGTATTTATAAATATTAATTATTTACATATATTATATATAAATTTTAATATAGTAAAAACATTTATATTTATTCATAATTTATCAATTAATAGGCAATAAAAAATCAATTCTTTTAATTATTTTATAACAACAAAAATTTATTTCCCCCTAAAATAACCTCTCCGTAAAATCATTGAAAAAAAATTCATCTTAAAATTCCTAACCAAACACCACGTCACCTAGCCTACCCAAGCACCCAAATACTATATCCTCCAAATTCACAAAAAGCTCTCACACTCAATTTCCAAATTTTCAATCCCACAAGCATGTCCCTCTCTGCCAAGCGATGCCAATTTCTTTCTCACCCATCTTTTAACTCTCACAAAAAGCCCTCTACCTCTCATTACCCAAATTTCCAGCCCCGCACGCGCCCCTCTACCAAACAATGTTGTGTGATGTGGTGTTGCTCCCCCATACCCAACCCAAACCCATAACCATACTATTTCCCTACTCTCAAACATACCCAACTTGGAATCAATTTCTAGCATAGATCAACACCGATGACAATGTAAAACGGAGAGAAACATAGATATAAGAATAAGAGGAAGAAAACTTACGCTTAACAAGGAAAAAGCTTGGAATCTTAGACGCTTGGTTGCTACTTGCTATAGAGGATTTTCTGCACGAAAATGAGTTTTCAAGCTTCTAAGTTATCACTTTTATTTTTTAAGTTGTCTTCTACCTTATTAATCTGAAATGATTCTCTCTAAAATGATTCTCTGAAGATTCTCATCATCACTTTTTTAAGTGAACAATGAATAGTTACAGGATTAATTTATCACATAGCGAACGTGTTACAAATGTGTTGTTACGTTGCAAAAAAACATAGGTGATTCATAATCTCACCGAAATTGCGATTTGATGTTGTTGCGGATAAGTTCGCAACCACAATATTGCATTTGCAATACATGATACAATCCATAATTTCTAAAATTGTATTGTTTTACGTAATTTCATAAAGTAATTTTTGAAACAGTAAATTTAGTGTTTCAAAAAGTACTTTCCAGAAATATATTAAAAACACAATTTTGGGAAATGTTTTCATTAACCCTAATTTTACTATTCTAAAAAATATTTTCTAGAACATTAAAATTATTTGATGTTGTGTTTTCTAAACATGTAAATGGGGGAAGTATTTGAAGAAAAACACACATTTGACTCGGCATTTTCAATATTGTTGAGGAAGTCACACGCACCTATAATGTTGTTGAAAACTAACTCTACGTTTTAGATGCGTGTGAAAACTAAAATAAGAGAGAGAAAGAATAATAGTGTGAAAACTAAAAGAGAAAGGAGAAGAAAGTAATGTAAAATTGAAAGAATTAAAATTACTTACTTAAATAGGTGGAGATTAAGAGAAAGGTAAAAGATGCACGTGAATATTGAAAAGACGAGAGAATGAGATGCTTGGAAAAGAAGAAGAAAAAATGTTAAATTGAATATTCGGGTGTAAAATTAAAACATTAAAAAAATTAAGAATATTTTAAAATTTTAATTTTAATTTTTTATAAAAAAAAGGTGTACTTGGTATATATCATGAGCCAATGAACATTGTTATCTCGTTTGGCAAGTGTACCAAATCGTATAAGTAGTTCAATGAAAGTATGAGTATCGTCTCCCAAGGGACTTGCACAACACTTTGCAATTTTCACTTGTTATACT